AAGAGAAATGGAACATCAGTCGTCAGCGGGAAAGTCTCGATCGCACGACAGCGAGAGAACAGAGAAGTTAGTTGTTAGTTTGCTCGCTAGGATATCGCATCCTATGCCTACATATTCTTGTCTGGAACGAGAAATCATAGCAGTTGTAGTTCAGCCAACTATAGCAAAAGGGAAAAGGGAAAAGGGAGCTCACTAGGATCATCGCAATCCTATGCCTACGTATCCTCGTCTGGTACGAGAAATCAGAGCGGACGTAGTTCGGCGCACGCGGAAAGCAAGTCTCAATTGCACAGGGGCAAGAGAAGGGGTCTCAATCGCCTGAATGCGATAGAAAAGGGTTTCGAATCGCGCTGGGGCGAGAACAAAGAGGAAGCAGGCCTAACACGCCTAAACGGGAAGGAACTCGGGACACACACGCAAGAACCTAAGGCGTAGGAGCGAGTGCGTCGTATATCACCCAAGGGACATATACTAAACACTCTAAACGATCGGGGGGAGACCACTCGATTGTCATTTCCCACGTATCTAACGCTACAGCTCACAACACTCGACGGTTGCACGAAGACTTGAATCAGAAAGATGTTATCGAACGAAGCAGCTCCGTTGGCTCTCGACACGTGTGCAAGCTCCATTCCAATCTTCTCCTCTCTAGACCCTTGATGATGACGTTCGAATCAGAACCAATGTAACGCTTAGACCGTCATGATTTGACTTATACGATAAATTAAACTCTAAGAGGTAGCGTATTAATATTCGTGTCAAAGACAAGATAGAGAAATGATATTAAAAATCATTCTCTAATTGAATCATGTCACACGGCCAGCACAGAATAAAATCAGAGTAAAATCGGATAGCATAAGAGAAATGAGGAGAGAAATCCAACAACAAATGGAAATAAAATTTTACTCCTAAAATACGGCAATAAATCCCTAATAGAAAATACTCTAAGGAAATTCTAAGGAAATTGCAAATGGAAAATAAACCTGAAAATTTTATACAAACTTCTAGACTATCCTAAAAGAAAAATAGGATATAAATTCTAAAATATAAAATCTATACTAAAAATGTAATAATATTCTATAATATTCTATAAAGAAAAATAGAAATGAAAATTCTATATTAAAAATATGTAACAATATTCTAAACTATAATTCGTAAAAAGAAAAAATAGAAAAATAAAACTACAATTATTACAACCACATATCCAATACAAGCAAGAATTAAAAACAAAAGGGGAGGGGGTACAGCCTCAACAGGGGGTAAAGCAGTAAAAAAAACATTGGGCTTGAGCCCACAATACAATAGTCCAGCAAAAAAAACAAAAACAAAAAACGGGGGTGCCAGTATGGAAAAGGAGGTGCAGTCAGCCTGAAAAGAAGTTGGGGCGTAAGGAAACGGGGGTGTGAATCTAAAACTGACACAATTGGGCCCAAGGCCCAACACCCCAATCCAATCCACGAAAACTTTCCACCTTCCTTCTCTCATCTCACTCAGAAACCATAGCTTCCTCTTTCCCTATCTCACCAGCCGCCGCCGTCACCAACTCCTCTCACCTGTCTCTTGTCCGATCCCATTCCATGCGTGTCTTCCTCCAATCAAATGAACTAAACATATCTGCAAAACATCAAATCAAGCAACGCCATTACATTGTTTGCGTGTTGAGTTTAAGCGTTTGGATCTGATGCGTTCTATGAAGATTTATGGAAAAATGGATGGATGTTCTTGAAGGATTTCCAGAAAAATGATACGAAGGCGATGAGCTCTATGAAGGTTTCTGGCGATGGATGGATCTGTGAAATCTGGACGAAGGTTGATGAACATGCTTGATGAAGTTTTGGCGAAGATTCATCGAAGGTGATGAACTCGAATGCAGAACGATGAAGAAGGTTCTTAGATGATGAACACGAAACGGTTATGGACTTGATGAATTCTGAAGAAGTTTCTGGAAAACTTTGAAGGCCTATGAAGATGGTTGAATGTCGCCTGAAGATGATGAAGCTTTGATGGATGTTCTTGGATTTCTGGCGAATGATTGAACGGGTGATGAAGTTGTGAAACGAGATCTGGAAAACTGGAGAAGATTGATGAGTGTTCTTGAGCAGTTGGATGAAGTGTCACGAAGAAAATGAAGGCTTATTGCAGATTCCGGTGAGTCGTTTGCAGTTTTCGGCGAGAAGAAACAGTTACCGGCGACAGTTACGGTGGTACCGGCGGTGGCTGCGTGGCCGACGATGAGGAGAAGCTGAGAGGCACGTGGCACACTGCATGGGAGTGGGGAGATAGGTGGCAGTGTGTGAAGTCTGTGAGGTGGACGCGTGGAGTGTGATGTGGAAGAAAGAGGATGAAACGTGTGGCTGGTCTTATATAGTGACATGTGGCGCGTAGCTGGACTCGTGGGCCTCCAAAAGGACAAGTGGCCCACGAAAATGGATTTACTGATTCAATTAACTTCCACGAATGCCTGTTAGATTCAATTAAAACTCCATTAATGATGGTTAAAACGAAAATGATGATTAATGATGATTAATTCTGACTAAATTAAATACTCAATTAAAATGCTAATGATTAATAGACCCAATTAAGACTAAAACGAAAATTAATAATGGATAATTAAACTGCTAATTAAACTGAACTTAATTCTCAATTAAAATTGAACTAAAGACTCAATTACCTAAACAAAAATGATTAAAATTTGGACCAAATTAATTGCTAATTAATCTAATTAAAATTGATTAATACCCTAATTAACATCTAATTAATCCTAAAAAGAAATTAAATCTATTAAATTCTAAAATCCTTCAATTAATATCTAAATAAGAATTAAAACTATTAATTCCTAACAAATACAATTAATATCTAAAAAGAAATAAACCTAGTAATTTCTAACAAAATTAAATCTAAAAAGAGATTTAAAATCTATTAACATCTAGAAATAAAAAAATTAATATCTAAGAAAATGAATTAAATCTATTAATTGCTAAACAAATTCAATTATTCTAAAAAGAAACTAAATCTAGAAAAAATAATTTAAAATCTATAAAAATCTATTTAATATGCAATGAAAGTCAATTAAACCGATTAAAAAAAGATGCGAGAATATAGCGAAATAAACGGTAACAACCAGACACCGAAATGTCCTCAAAAACAATAGCAAGAGCTGAAAACACCAAGACGAGCACAAATTCCACCACAAAACCTGCTTATTCGAACTGGTATGAAATGCCTGAAACGCCCGGAAAAGGCTGTGATCCCGATAAAGTCAATCTGACAAAAAAAAATGCAATGTATGCGGTATGCAGATGTGAATGCAAAATGAGTCGAAAAACAAATCAAATACAATAATTGGTTGGTCAAATTTTAGGGTGCAACACCATCGGCTTGAAGTCTTTCAAATTTTTGTAGTTTGTTTTTGTAACTGAGTTTCTATTGCAAAAAAGATGAATTGTTTTATTTCATCATCAGTAAGTGTTAATCCTATGATAGAAAAAGGAAAAACTATAACTAACAAATTGAGATTCATAATATAATTAGCTTTGCGAATATGTTTTCATAAAAAGTGTACTTGGATTTCTGGTCAAAACACGTTTCTCATAAAGAATATCATCAGATAAGTGCTGCCATGTATTACTCCAAATATGCTTTGGTCTATTCATTGATGAGGATAACAATATAGTAACAAATAACTTCCTTAAGAAAAAATCCAGACCCCCAGACATGCATCTTTTTTAAAGCCTTAATAAATTATTTATCATCTTATAGAAACCCCATAGCAAAGCACGCTTCTCTAAAAGTTTGATGGTGAAAACCATCAATTTTTTATGTCTTCATAACTTATTGGTCATTTCTTGAGAGTCAACATCATCCTTAAGTAATATGGTTCACCTGTGTTTTAAGGCACTCAAATAAGACGACCAATAATATACACTCTCTTCCTAGGCTTCCAAGTTCTGCTTCGTTTATGATAAACAAATTTAGAGACAAAGTCACCATATGTCAACAACTTAGCTTCATCGTAAATTTTATTTGCCTCAAACCATGTAGTAAATGTAGATTCGGTAACACTTGATTTGAGTAAAACATTTTCAATTTACTCAAAGACTTTGTATTGAACAAAATTCTCTCCTTTCATGTGAAACAATAATCTCTCTACGGCTAGTTTTCTACCGTGTATAAAATATGAAAAAATCATCTAACATGTCTCGCTTGGAGAGATGTAACGACAATCTAGATATTGCTTGATTTCATCAATGTTCTTTTCACCAATTGCATTATCATCAGAAGAATGAATAACAACAGAAATTATATCAGAACATTTGTTGATATATTTGAATAAGTATTTGATAGAAGTACTCTAATTAAACTATTCTACATTGATGTGTGGTGAAGGATGATTCCGTCTTTTTCAATTGTGTGTCTATTATCTTTTCTTCTATAAACCAGATAGCCATAGAAAATTTATCATTCATATATATAAAAAAATACGAAAAAAATATTTGACTAGAAAAATTAAACAGCTTGAAATTTCTAAAAATTAACCACAACAATTTGATGCATTTAATAAAAACCAAATATTACCAATCTTAATCATTTAATTCAATTACTTTAAAAATATCTAAATTGTAAAAAAAAACACATCTTTTATTATTTATATTATTTAATTTTCAATATATCAATTAAATTGTATACTATTTCGTTTTAATTAGTCAAACTAATTATTGATTTTATATTTTAATAGTAGTAATACGTAAGATAACAACCGTGTTTAGCGCATATTCATAGTTATTTAAGAATTATGTTCAAAGAAAATGTATAAATAACACCGACATTATTCAATACAATATTCAAGTCAATGAATCATCTTTTAACAAATGAAAATGAGAATCATATGACAAGATTCTTTTTTAATAAATTTGTCTTCATTATGTTTAGCTACCTTAACATCTTCTACTATATTTAAACTCCCAACACAACAACAATAGCAATACACAAATAATAACATCATGGTTCTCTACGGTGGTGACAGCACAATACTCATCGTAGCACTCTTAATAATAACTGCCATAACATGGTACATTTACATCTTCTTCTTCAAATCCAAATACCAAAATTTACCGCCAGGTCCATCTGGTCTTCCTTTCTTCGGGAACCTTCTATCTCTACAACCAGAACTCCACACTTACTTTGCCGGACTGGCCCGAATTCATGGCCCGATTTTCAAGCTCCGGCTCGGTAGCAAGCTCGGAATCGTCGTGACTTCACCTTCCATAGCGCGTGAGGTTCTAAAAGAACATGACGCCATTTTCGCCAACCGTGACGTCCCTGCTGCTGCTAGAGTAGCATCTTACGGCTGCTCTGATATGGTATGGATCCCTAATGGGGCAGAGTGGAGGATGCTGAGGAAAGTTGGCGTCGTGAAGATGCTTAGCAACACAACTCTTGATTCCGTTTATGAGCTCCGCCGCGGTGAGGTTCGGAGGACGGTTGAGTATATTCACGATAGAGTTGGTTCAACGGTGAATGTTGGGGAGCAAGTTTTTTTAACGGTGTTGAACGTGATTACGAACATGATGTGGGGTGCGGGAGTGGAAGGGGAAGAGAGGGATAGTTTAGGTGCGGAATTCAGGGACGTGGTGGCGGAGATGACGCACCTTTTGGGAAAACCGAATTTGTCGGACTTTTTCCCCGCGTTGGCCCGATTTGATTTGCAAGGTGTGGTGAAAGATATGAAAGCATTGGTTCCCCGTTTTGATAGAATATTTGAAAAGATGATTAGTGAACGTGTGAAGAAGGAAGAGGAAGGAGAAGTGAATGAAAGTAAAGATTTTCTGCAGTTTTTGTTGAATTTGAAGGATGAGGGTGATTCCAAGACGCCATTCACAAGGACTCACATTAAGGCACTTCTCATGGTATGTTTCTTTCATCAAGGTATCCATTTATGTTTTATCTGTCTTTTTTTATATTAATATTGTGAATGATTGTGAACAGGACATGGTAGTGGGTGGATCTGAAACAACTTCCAACACAATTGAGTTTGCAATGGCAGAAATGATGAACAAGCCAGAAGTGCTGAGGAAGGTTCAAGAGGAATTAGAAACTGTAATTGGAAAAGATAACTTAGTAGAAGAGTTTCATATTCATAAGCTACCCTACTTGCATGCAGTGATGAAAGAAACCCTTCGTTTGCATCCGGGAGTTCCGCTTTTGGTTCCTCACTGCCCAAGTGAAACCACCAATGTTGGAGGCTACACAGTTCCAAAGGGATCTCGCGTGTTTGTAAATATTTGGGAAATTCATAGAAACCCTTCGGTTTGGGAGAATCCGTTAGAATTTGATCCTACAAGGTTCTTGGATGGGAAGTGGGATTACAGTGGGAATAATTTCGATTATTTTCCATTTGGTTCTGGAAGAAGGTTTTGTGCTGGATTACCAATGGCTGAAAGGACTGTTTTGTACTTTACAGCTACCCTTGTGCACTTGTTTGATTGGACAATACCACAAGGAGAAATATTGGAGATTTCTGAGAAATTTGGTATTGTTTTAAAAAAGAAGAAGCCTCTGCTTGCTATTCCCACGCCACGATTGTCCAATCTAGATCTTTATAAAGAGAATTGAACTACTTCGTCTTCTTAGGGTGGGAAAGGGTCACATGTATTTTATGAAGGTTGATGCTTTTGACATGTTAATAAGATTCTCTTAAGGATTCACTAGTCAATGTCATTGTAATCATTTAAATTTTATGTATCTTATATTTTGTTTTTCTTTTAATTTCGTAGTTGTTAAGAGAATAACAATTGTGACTTGAAAACTTTGAGATATAAAATGTGAAAAAATTTTATATTCGATTAGAAAAGTAAAAGTTTTAAAAATTTATAAATGAGAAAATTGACATATCTATTATCTTAAAATTTTAAATGAATATATAGCCTCTTTATCATTGAAAAAACTCAACAAAAAAATGTAAAGAGCACATTACTTCTTTTTTTAATGTCTATCCCAAAAAAGTTATTTAATATATAGAGCATTAGGGATATTCTATCTCAAAAACAAACAAAGCAAATATTACCAACCAACTCGACCTATCTTAATCAATATGAAGGAGCTAAACAAAAGTCATAAAATTTGAAGTTGGATTTAGAAATATATCCTGGCTTAAACCATTTCTAACTAAAGAATTTAATGTTCCAAATGATATTATTCAAACTAAAACAAGCATTGTTAAAGATGATGTCATTCCTAGCTAGCCATAAACTCCAAACTACAGACATCCAAATAATTATTACTTTGTCTCGCATAACCTTTTTAATAATAGAATCGCACCAATCCTTCAAACGCATCCAACTATAACTATCCAAACTTGTAGTACAACTGGCCTAAGAACCTATCTTCTCCCAAATTAAAACAGATATTGCACAATGAAAAAACAGGTGCATGATGCCCTCTACTTCCTTCATACAGAAAACACAACGATCCTCGTTTGATAAGTTGCACATACCTCTGATTTTCAACTGGTCTTTAGTCGCACATCTGTCAAGAAACAACTTCCAACCAAAAGCTTTAGTTTTTTTTCCAGAATTTTAATTTTTCACAAAGCTATGAAAACTCTACAAGGTATCAGATTCAAAATCGCGAGACTGATGTTCCTCAATCTTTGACATCTAGCTCTAACTGTGTAAACACCTTCATCGACGCCTTTCCAAATTGTTAAATCTCTTACTGATATATCAGGAAAAAAGTCTGCCAGCAAGTTTTATAATTGTGTCAATCTTTCTCTAACTGAAACCTGATGAATCATAAGGATTTCAAAATCTCCCCATATCCATCTATCTTTCTGCGAAGATCCCATTTCCACCACAAATTTGTGTTTCTTATTACTGATGTTATACAAATCTTGAAAGTCGATGTCAATTGAGTACCTTTGCACTAAATTGTTGACTAAAACAGAATCGATTCTCCATTACCAATTTTGTAATTGATTTTTCCTGCAAAATAAAAATCGTGATTAGTTGATAAATCTCCCATGCTTGCTAAGTCCTTCCACCATATAGACGAAACATTTGTTTCATTGCTCTTTTACTCCATAAGAATGTGGTGATCAATTCTTTTGTATCTTACTTCAAACACACTCTTCCAAAACGATTAATCTTCAAAAATAATCCTCCATTTCCACTTGAACTCCCTTATACTCTTAATTCCAAGACCACCTATCTCCTGCAATTTGCAAATGTTATCCCACTTAAACCAATGGATTTTCTTCTCCCTCCCCCTTAGCTCCCCATAGAAAACGTTGGCGTAATTTATCAATCTCCTTCCAAATTTTCACTAGCGCTATGAAGAAAGACATTTAGAAAATTGTCAAACTACTAAGAACCAAGTTGATTAAAGTAATCCTTCCTGCAAACGAGAGAAGCCTCCATTTCCACGCTCCCAACTTAGTTTTTATTTTATCTATCACAACAGACCAAATTTTGATTCTTCTTGGATTGGATCCTATAAGAAAACCCAAAAAGTTGAAACTAGCTTCGTTGATTCTGCAAGACATGAAATTTGCTACCGCTGCTGAGTAATGCTTGCTAGTATTTAAACCACCTAATATGCTTTTTGAGAAGATTACACTTAAACCAGAAACAATATCGAAACCTCTTGGAACAAATTTTATAGACCATAAATTTTTGCATCTTCCTCCTCCTAGGATAATCATGTCATCTGCAAATTGAATTAGATCCACAAAGCATCTATCTTTCACTTTAAAACCTTTGAATTCTCCTAAGTCTGCCACCTTTTTTAACAGCCCTACTAATCCTTCAGTGACTAACATAAACAAAAAAGGGATAAAGGATCCCCCGACCGTAAAGTTTACTAGCATGTTCGACTTTAGGAATTAAAGTTAAGAAAGACGATGTTACCGCTTAAGAAGATAAGGCATAGCGTGAAAATCCTTAATCAAATCAATAATTTCGCACTTCATAAAATTCCAACAGTTTGTTATGAAGACAAAATTATAACCATATGGTCCCGGGATCTTCGTTCCAATGCAGCTCCAAACCGTCTGTTTAACCTCACCTTCCGTAAAAGGTAATTCCAAGGCCCTAGCTTGATCGAAAGATAGAACATTGAAATCAATTCCTTCCAACACATGTCTGCTCACTTCTGCCTCAGAGAACTTTTTTTCGAAAAATTCCTAACTTCTTATTTGACTCCATCTACAGAATCAACCACTCCCATATCCGTTTCAACTTCTCCAATATACTTTTTCTTAGCATGGCCCTTGACTATATTATGATAGAATTTCGTATTTAAGTCTCCTTCCCGAGTCCACTTCAATCTAGCTTTTTGAATCAACATATTATCTTTGATATGTAAATGCCTCCACAATGTATTGCAAGCTACCGATATTTAACAACCAGTTTTTTTTACCTCTGAGAGATCACACTTGCGTAATTTTTCATCCAACTCGTTAAGCTAATCCACTCCCTCTTCCGCTTTCAAGTCATGCGACCCAAAATTCTGTGTACTCCAAATCCTCAATCTGTTTTTAAGGATTTTAAGCTTCTCCTTAATAATATAGTCACTCCTACAAATAAATTTAATATCTTTCCATTCTTTCTCCACAAACTTCAAAAAATCAACATGCTCAAACCAGCAATAATTTGTTTTGAAAGGCTTCGGACCCGAATTTAAAGAGGAAATCTTCAACCATATTTGACAGTGATCTAACACATATTATATGAAAACCTTAATATATATTTTATTCTATAACACCTATTCATCATTTTGGACAAATTTGTATCACGTTAAAATGATGATTCAGCCAATATCTTCTAAAAAATTGTTCTATATTTATTTTTAAATGTGACAAATATTGGATAACTTTGTCATTTTTATGTTATTTTTTATTTATGAATCACTAAAAAATAATTATATTATATATATAATTAATATATAAGATAAATATTTGATTATTTAACTGTTAGTGATGATTCTTTATACGGTGGTGTAGAGTTGGATGTGCAAGATCAACAATAAAACTGCAAGTCATTTTAGGATTTTAGATGAGTGTAGTAAAAAGTGGAGATAAAAAAAATGTATCTTAGATATCTCGTGAGATACTTTTATACCTTGAATCATTTGGAGTTGATTGACATCAATTTGTGCTTTAGCTTCTCGGGCATTTGGTCGACGCAGAACATTTTTCTCCAAAGTTTGTCGGGCGTAACTTAGCTTGGGAAGTATTTAGCAGTCATGGTCGATCCTTGTGGATGTCGTTATCTTCGAACCAGAAGTGAAAACACTTGGAGGTAGTTGAAAAAGTAGTGGGAGATAAGAGCATTAAATGTTTTCCCATCACTTGAGTATTTCACTCCTTACTCTAGGTGTGTGGCCCTAGTGGGATAGATCACGACACGAGTATTTTGGCCCCTTGTTTCCTTTAATAAGATGGTTAACTTGCCACCTTTAAATATTTTTCCTTATAAGAGGTAGGTTTTCCCCCAAGGTCTTCTTTTTTGGTTTGTTTACCATTTTTCTTGCTCAGTCATTTGGGCATTTTATTTCTTATTTATCTGGTCTCGCCTTATCTCCCTTTCACCTTTAAATGTACGCCATTGTAATTTTTATGCACTTTCATGGTTAACCCATGGGTGCGTCCGAAAACGATGCTCTCAAGCTCACCAGTAAAGAGTCTTCATCATTTGCGTCACTGGAGAACCCCAAATTTGCGGAACTTCTCTACGCTGAAACTTCCTTATCCTCGGACCAGATACGCCTCAAGGTGGCTTTGGATTGGGGTTAGATTATTTTAGCAACGATAATGATTTGCATATGAGTGATATGGTTGTTCTGAGATAAAGGCACGAGAGACAAATTGCTCCATTTAGTCTCTTCGAACAAACCTTTCCCGATGACGCCCTATTGCTGCTAACTAACTTGGTTTACTTTATAATATAGACACATGCTTCGCTCAATTAGAGGAGTTGGTTACGGAGAAAAACACGACTGATTAATACTGGGTGGATCTTGAGTATATAGAGACATTTTCCCCTTATACTCGGGAAGCTGCTGTGAGGAGAACCTCATTTGAGGTTGGATCATCTTTAGATTGGATGATCTCGGTCATTCCTATTGGCAAAAGGGTATGTAACATGTTCGAATGATACTTTATTCCTTTTATGATTGTATCTTATAAAAGTCAGGCATGTGACTCCCATTAACTGCTTTCTAGAAAAAAGTATTGGATCACTTTTGTATTCCTCTTTTGCAACTTCATCTGATTGCATGAGCCTTTATGAGGGTATCTCAGTATTAGAATCATTAGCAGGGGGAACATGTGTTCATCTTCCAAGAACATCTTATTCCATCATTTTGATCTATACCTCATTCCAAGAAAGGGTATGGTCACAATCTTGTTTCTCTTCATCAAAATGACAATAAAATATTCTACGTTTACACAGAGAGTTGGAAAAGGTTCAAGACTGACTATTTCTTAGAAACTCTCATCTCCCCCTTGCTCATGCGAAATTTTGTGTCATTGCGACCTCTTCTTTAGGATGGTCGTGTATGTTGGTCAGATGAGACGATTATGGTCTCCAGATCATTTTTCAGAGGTGGCTAATTCT